CAGCATATTGTTCCAGCAAGATTTTCGTACATGGAATTTGATAAAAATGCATCTGGAGCACACTCCACGTAAGATTGCTTCGTTAATGAAAATCCCTTTCGTGGCACATTGTTAAAGCCGTCGGAAATTTTGAAGCTCGTTAAGTCGAGCGATCATTGAAATCATTAAAAACTTTCGACGTTCGGGTCATCCTTCGTACGGAATTCCATTACGTTTTTCTCGAAGAAGCAGTAATAACGTATGAAATTTAATTATTGCATTGCAATGGTTTTGTATGGCTTTATTGCAGATTTTTTATAATTCAAATTGTGTAAATATCTGAAATTAATAATACAGGGTGATAATTTTACTGAGTTCTATTATTTGTGGAATTTATTTAAGGAAATGTTTTTAAGAATTTTTATTCATAATTTTAACAGTTACTTTACATCATAATATTTAAAAGAACTCTACGATTTAAACCCTTTCAACACGAATTATTTGGGTTCAGAAATAATAAAATTGAAACTGTGATGCTCTTGCAATATTCTGTTATTTAGGAAATTAATTTATTATATTATTTTTACGAATATTTAGTTTTAGTTTTACTTTCATGCTACGATATCTAAAATTACTTGAAAACTGAACGTTCGCGTATGTATTAGCGATACTTGCCGGGCTCCACAGTACACTTACGTTCTTTAATTAATAGCTCACGTTTCAGCTCCTGGATATTCTCTATAAAGCTTGAATTACTTAGTTAGTGTTGCAATCGCTACTCCGGCTCCCTCGATATTTTCTACCTTTTTGCCTAAACACACTTTACTATCTCAACATTACATATATTAAGAGTTTCGTGAACGGTATTAATTACGATCCACGATGAACTTAATCGAGCTTGCCGGCGTTATTCGCAGATAATACCTCGCGAGGTTCAATATATTCAAGTAAAAACTACCGTTAAAAGATTCTAAAAATACAGCGTTTCCGGCTGGATTGAAAGTTAAACCAGAAATAGTATTCTGTCCCTGATGCTTGAAAGCTTCTTCCCGAGTTTGAATTATTAAATGATTTATTAATAAAAGCAAAATGTATTTTTCCCCAGTAAATGTTCGTTCTACACCAACGCAATTGGAGAATCGTTTTGTCCTTTTCAGCGAAAATGAGTGAGAAAATGTAACCACTCTGTTAAAAGAAGAAAAATTGTTTGAATAATATGAAGCAGTAATTGCATCCCACTGTATGGGAGATCTTTTAACGTAGATTCTCTGTTGCCTTTCACATCTCACTCGTTTCGCGTTTTATTCGCCCGTCTCCATTCCTCTGAGGATTTATAAACGATACTAACGAAGATAATCGCGTAAACGACCAGGAAACCAGATTAAATCGGTGTAATGGACATTGGAATTTTCTTTACGATTGACGACAGTTCGACCGATTCGATAAATCAGATCGAATTTCAACGACTGAGTGCAATGAGGCAAGTACATTTATTTCATCGATCGTTGTATTATATGTACGAGAGAAATAAATTGAATTGTTTTTAACTAAATTGTTTAGCCTTTTTTTTTAAATGCTCAATGTTAACTAAACATGAATTGTAATTTTTCATCAATTAATTTTAATTTGAATTATGTATAAGCATGTATAGGCTGATTTACATAAATTCGAATCGAAAGATAATTATTAGGAGCTACCCATGTTTTGTCAACATTATTGATACAAGTGAAGAGGCCCAGCAAATTATTCAAAATCACTATAACTAGTTTCTGCTTGTAAAAAATAATCTGGTTAAATGTATTTTCATATACAAGCATAATGTTCCTGTCATTATTCGAAGAAGTGGTTTTATTTCATAAAACATATATTCGAAGATTCCCGAGTCTATAATTTCCAACCATAATTTCATACACGTCTATTTACTCCTATTACTCGACGCAGAGCATCGAAGTTTCTGGAATGCCTTGAATAGAATAGAGTTATCGTAATGTATCCCTATTTTACGGTCATTATCTTGCTTCTTAACTGTGTATGCCGCGTGTGAACCGTCACTTTAACACGTTACCCGTGGCGCACTTTATTCTCTCAGATCACTGTTTCGACGGTAATGCTACTTCGTACGTAGACGAGCATCCAGCCGCGTTAACGGGAACCACCGCAACATTCCGACAAATTGTATTTTTAATTTCTGTTAGCAACCGAACAAGACGAAACTTTCCGTTACAGCTTTACAGTTAGTTCGCGTTTCAATCAAATTCGACGAAGTTCGCTCAGGAAAATGTGTACCGTGAGTAGATCTGTCTTCGATCTGCCTTCGATCTGGCAATAATTTTATTGAATAAAATGTAAATACCGGATGTAATTACTTTTTAGAATGCTAGCGAATTCAATTACACGTTGCATGCAAATTATAAACGAAAAAAAGTGCAACAAAAATTGCTTGAATTAATATAGCCTTAAATTTTCAACTGGCACTCCTCGACTGCAATGTTCCCCCACAACTTTTACGTTCACTTCGCAGCGTTCTATTCCTATTTATTCCTTTTTCGTTGGTATCGTAGCCGGTATCAGAGGCAGCGTTTTAATATTGAGTGGCGAATAGGCGACGCGACGCAACAATTCGCGGTGACATTTTTTCCCCCACCGTTAAAAACTTCGCTCAAACGGGACGAGAGAGCGTAAAAATGAGCGACTGGTAACGGTGAAACTTTAACACGTAATCCGTGCGACGCTTCGCGGCCGAAATAGCTTAAAATTGTCTTCAATCCCGACGCCTCGAAATACGATGAAAGAGTAGGTCGAGGAGCGCTTGACAAATCCCTTGGCTGGGCTCTCGATATTTTGCTCCGACGTTTTGTGGAAAAATCAACCTCGCCTCTCGCGGATGCGAACGCCGCTTCGTACTTTGCAAAAATTTAAATAAGATCTAGAGGAATCCAAGACAGATAGCGAGTAAAGCGATCGCGAATCGACGCCGGTACAATCGAATGCTTCAAACTGAATGAATTATCGGATAAGGCTATGTAGTGTTATCCCATAAGTAATGTTCTTTCGGTATAGAATCGTTAAATGTACGAGACGTTTCCTGCACGGGGCGATAAATCGAAATTGGATTTTAGTTTGACTCGGAAGCAGTATGAATCTTCTGCCCACGATGGAAACTGAAGAAAAAGTTAAACTAATCCTTAAATTATCTAATCTTTTTTATATTTCTATAGAAGAAAATTATTATTTTTGTTATATTTTTCCTCATTTATAGTTTGCATTCAATGTATATTTTACCTTAATAAAATTCTATTCATTAATTGTAGCAAGTATTTACAATTACTTGCGGCAAATATTTTTCTGAATAAACAATAAATTGATGCATTTCGTTTAACGTGGTTGAGGAAATCAATCTACGTATTTGATTGATTCAAACTAGATATTGAAAAATTGTGAAAATTGACACGAATTTCAAATTTGGTTTGGAAAAATTTGTTAAAAAAAAAACCCAGCACCTCGAAAAATTGTACATTTTTTCAGAAGCTATACAATAAATTCGCGATATACTGCGATTCAATCGATACACACGGATTACGCTACGCCTTGCCGTATAATCCGTGAAATGGACGATTAATAACGATCGAATACGTATACACGTTCGACAAGCAACATATGAATTGGAGAATTTTACCAAACGTGTTGAATGGTTGAACCGAGGGCTCACTAACCATTCGAGGAAAAATTCCTCCAACTAGAAATCTCTTATTCTTTTTTTTTAACTAGATAAAAATAACATTTTTCGATTGTTTGGCAGTGTAGAATTCAACTTTATTGATGGAATTGCGATGGATTTCCATTTATATTTTTCTGTACGTCAACTATTGGGTTCTTATCTTCTATTGGAGTTTTTTTTATTTTATATAAATTAATTTAACGGATGAATGAAGTTACTAAACATTTAACGTTTGGTTTGTGTGGCTATGCAACGTATTTTTATTTTATATATTCTTGTATCTAATTACCTAATTACTGGGGAATTTATATTTTAGGATGACAGTTAGGATGACCCAATAGCAGCAATTTCCATTACAAGAAGACAAATGTTATTTTGCGTATAACAGATCTTCTATGCTAAGGAGGCCCACATTCGCGCGTAAGACGTTAGGACAGAACAAACGCTGCAGTGTCTCCGCAAGTATGAATTACCTCGTTGAATTCGGTACGAGCATTCCTCGGCCTTTCGCGCGTGTCTTTCAAACGTTTCGTGGTAACGCGTATCAAGCCAAGCCTAAGTAATCCTCCGTACACGGTTTCCGCTACTGTCGTTTCTAACGTTCCCAATAGCTTCTGTCAGAGTTCACGTTTCTTTCCAAACGGTACGCCGTTCTCGCAACTGCTTTGTACGGACCGCCCCCGCCATTACCGACATACCATATTCAAAAGCAATGGAACTTGTCCCCGTATAAACGCATAAAGGGTCAATCTTCGAGGATGTTGTATGCATAGACGAGACCTCTCCCCCCCCCCTCCTTTACCTCACCATCTCGACAATACGCAATTCTACATACGGGCCGATTCAATCCGTTCTATATTCTCTCCGACCTCGAAATTCCTCGACGGATACTTTCTTCACAATCGAACGAGCAAATAGCCGTGCCACCGTCCGAATATCGTATCGAACCCGTTACGCTTTCAGCCAGGCGACTCACGTGCTGCATAAAGCGGCGATGGCTGCCCCGTACAAACGACACACGTCTATTTTATCCATCGTCCTAGCCATTTAATCATTCCGCGGAACGCTTACACGCTTCAAACGGAATTCCCTTATTCGGCCGTGAAACATACATATATGTACGATCCCCCGGATACGTGGCACCGTTCAACGTCGACGTATCGGGCGTAAGACTGATCGTCCACCGGACTCCACCGAGTCTTCTGGCCAACGTTGACGTTTGTTGCGCCGGAGAGAGAGAATATCGCCGCGATCGGCACCATCGGGCGTTTCACGCGCGAATACGATAACGATTCAATCTTACCTGGGTTGCTGTCGGCGTTCGAGCTGAACAGCACGCACAGGCCCGTCTCGTAGTTCACCGCCTGGCAGGAGTCGTTCGCCTGACAGATCTCGAGGCAGTCGGTGAGCATCAGAGTTCCTGGTATGGACTCGAGCATGTTCGTTGGCGCGGTGAACACATAACCGGTCACCAGCTCGAAGCCGACCATTTCTGGGTCGCACTCGTCGGAACCGGCGGATGGCCCCGTGTAATCCGGCCCAGAAAGTCCCGACGGGACCGCAGAGGCCGGCTGGTCAGCCGCGTGCGTGGCATCCGCGGCTGCCACGTGACCGAGCCTCGCGATAGCCTGCACCAGCAGAATCGTCGCGATGAACTCTCTCGTCATCATTCCGCTCCACCTGTTCCTGGACGTTTATCTGCAACAGGAAAACGACCGCTGTCAATTGTCCGATCGGGATTCGTTCCTGCAATACGCGCGTGTGTCCACTTGGATGGATGTAACTGGTCTGGGGTGACGTTATATTCCCCTGACCGTTACGCGTCTCGGATGTCTTGGGTGCCTTCTTAAAGGAGGATTGGGAGATTTATATTTCGGGAACTCCGATGCCAGCAGGCATTCGGCTAAAGGGAATTCTGGTTCGTGTACACTGCCATTCAAAAGTATGCGGACACTTGCCATTTTTATCAAACGTGTGGTATAGTATGTGCGTTATTATCGGTATGTGATTTAAAAAAAAAAAAAAAAAAAAAATACAAATATGCACTGGTGAAATATACTTTAAATACGTGAAAAAGTGTAACCATAAAGTCATTATACCATCGCTATAAAATTTCTGTATTTTCTTTTCTATTAAACACGATCTGCGGTACGAACTTGTGGGATGACCTAATATTATTATGTTACTTCAAGTCAGAGCCAGGAATTTTTATTTACGCATTGAATTGAGTTTGTATCAGGGATATTGAATTAATTAGTCCGTGGAGTGATTTATTAAGTACATACTCTTGAGTCTCGAGAAGATCGTAACTGTTCGCGTGACGTTAAATTCTGTAACCGTTACATTTCTTGGGTGTCTCAGGTGTCTGAAGTGTCTTGGGTGTCTTCTTAAAAGGAGATTGAGAGATTTATACCTGGAGAGCGTCGATAGTAGTCAGCATACAGCTAAATCTTCTGACGAAACACTGTTTTATGTATTACGTCAGGGCTGGGTTCAATATACTCATTCAATGTTAGTTCAGGAAATCCTATGTGTATACCGAGTCAGGTAACTGTTAGTCACACTGAATTAATTAGCCAATGGGAGTGATTTGTTAAATACTCATGTGTCCCACGCGACCGTTACGTGTCTCGGGTGTCTTCCTAAAAGGGAATTGGAAGATTTATATTTCGAAAGCTTCTGTGGTAAGAAGTATTCTTCACCGTTTTATATATTACGCCAGGGCTGGGTTAAGTATGCTATTTCTATGTTAATCCAGGTCTGGGTCACGAATACCTATTTATGTGTTGCATCAGGTATATGTTAGGCGTACTATATCAACCGGCTGATGCACTTGATTCCTTAAACATTTGTGTACCTGATATAGCTGTTCGAGTGACGTTAAGTTCCCTAACCGTTACATTTCTCGAATGTGTTTTGAAAAGGAAATTGGAACTTTAGCCTGCATCAAAAGATCTATCCTCTGTTGATCTATTGAGTACTGTTTTATGTTATATTACATCAGATAGCTAGGTTAAGTACACTATTTCTATGTTAATCCAGGTCTAGGTCAGGCGTACTATTTCTATGTTAATTCAAGTTAGGGTTATCTATTTATATATTAAATTAGGTTCGTGTTAAGCATACTGTATCAATTCACTGTAGGGATCGATTTGTTAAGTATCGAAGTGAGTAGAGTAATAGAGAGATAAATTATACGCGAATCTAACACTTCGAATGCATTTCTGTGGGTACCTTCCAAACTTAAATGGCAGACAGGTAAATTTTCTAACAGAATTCTATTGGAATCCTAAATAAGGCCTGGGTTAAGTGTACTATTTCTATGATAATTCAGACCTGGATCACGTGTCAATTAGTGGATCAAGCTCAGATACACGTATGACTGTTAAAATACACTTCTTGAATGTCTTCTTGAAAGGGAATTGGGATATTTAAGCTCTGAAGACATGGCAAGAAGTATTCAGCTATATCTTTCAGCGTTAGCTTAACAATACTATTTCTATGCTAATTCAAGTGTGAGTCAGGTTCAGGCATTTACACATATTGTATCTGATCGATGCTACGTATACCATGCGAATTGGTTAGTTGGATTCAGTAGTCAAAGACTTCTCTGTCGAAAAACAAGAAACTGTTCCAGTTCATTCCTCATGTCTTCTTAAGGGAAAATTAGGTGATTTAATCCTCTGTCGTCTTTGATACGAACCAGTTTCAAATAATTTATATTTTTATTACCATTTATTCTATTATTGAACATGTATCTTCAAGAGTAATGAGTGTGAGTCTGGAGAAATTAAATTCAAAAAATGTAGATGACAATTTAGCTGGATTTTCTGACAGATTACTATTACAATTTATTATTAAATCGAGTCAACTTTGAATCAACTATATCTATTACTCTGTTAACTTAGGAGAGTGGGTTATGCACACTGCATCGATCGGCTGATTGGACAGAGCAACTTGTAATTAATTAATCCAAAAGAGAGTTGTCTCGTTAACTATTCCTCAAGTGTGGTCTTCTCCGAATTAAGAGATTTAAGATCAGAAGACTTCGCTGACAGGAATCATTAAGATACTTGTTCCGATAGAGTATTTATATACGAAACCAGCTCTGAGTTAGGCGCACTATTTCATTTGGCTGATTGGATTCATTCCTTAAGAGCTGTTCTGTCCAGAGACAGATAACTATTCAAGTGCATTTCTTGCGCAGCTTCTTAGGAAGGAATTAGGACATTAAAATTCCGAAGTCTTCGATAGCAGCAATCACCTTCGAGACGGTTAATACTCTTTCTGTGCGAAATAAAGTCTGAGCTAGACACACCTATTTACATATTAAATAAGCTGCACTATACAACATTTGTTAGAAGCTGCTCTATTCAAAAACGAATAAATATTTAACTGTTCCCCGACGTGTTTTCTGTAAGACAGGATTAGGGTATTGACATTTCTAAGAGTTCGACAACATCAACTGTCTATCTAGATGTTTTCATAGAACAATATTTATAGTTAAAATCAGGTTTGAGTTACTAGGTATACTACTTCAATTGACCGATTCAATTCATTCGTTACAAGCCACTCTTGCCGGAGACGTATTCAATTTACTTCCTTATGTGTCTTCTGAATAGAGAATTAGAAGTTTTGAGACTTGGCGACATCGAGAAAAGCAGACATTCAACTAGACGATCTTACAGAATCTTTTAAAATAAGTATAATCGAAAAAATTGTGATTTTACGTTTGAAAAAAGAAACTGAAAACATAGAATAAAATTAAAGAACGAATTTTCGAAAAATTTAATAGCACAAAATTAATTTTGAAATTTGCTTGAGGCATGTACAGAATTTAATGGAATTCAATTTAATTAACTTAGCTATGGACTATTTCCTATATTTAATTACTACATTAATACTTGATCGTGATGACTTGTAATTAGAAATATTATTTTGCTGTAATTAACTCTGCGAATTTCGCACGAATATATATGTATAACTTCAATATTAACTTGTTCGAATACACAGCCTCAACAATCAAATTTTCAGTTCACTTTTTGAATTAACTTTCGTGTATAAAAAATCACTCACACTGTACAATTTTTTTTAAACACGAATTCTAAATGACAACTGAAATAATTATTTTTACCCATCTTGTCAAATAAAGATTCAATTTTGTCAAAAACGTCAAAATAAACGTCAAAATAAATTTCTATACGTTGGTTTTATTTATTATTCGTTAGTCCAAGAATCTAGTTCCACTCATTTTGAAACACCCTATGTATTAAATCACGTGATATCTGCATTTATTCAAAGTGCCCGTAATTACTACGTCTCCCAAATTGTTACACTTGTTTCTCAATTACTTTGCACTTGACGTTTGATTTAACAACAGTTTACGTTTAATCTTGATTAGCGCATACCCTCATGGATCGAACGTAATTTTGGTATTACAATTATTACCGATACCCGGAATTAACGCTTAGATTTTCGTGTATTCCTGTTTATCTGCTGAATTACGATTATAGCGGGATTGAATTAACCATCGATTTTATGTTTCGTTGAATAAATATTATTTATTGAAATATTATTTATATATTGAAAAATATTTATATCGAAATTTTGGAGAGTTCATTTAGTTTAGCAATATACATATTGATAGATTATTTTTGTTTCTTGCACATCGATCTATTTTGTCGCAAATATAAATAATTTGCGAATAAAAAATATGGTTGAACATTTAATTTATATGAAATTATATAATCACTATTGTCTTATAACCTCATTGAAAACATAAATTGACTTATTTAAAAATGATGTATGATGTTTAAAGAGATACATGAAAGTAAGATTTAAATAAAATATGAAATAGTAACTAAAATGCTGATCGAAACTGTCAATTAACAGGTCTATACGAGTCGAAGGAATTTCCTTAATAAACGTTAAATTATCTATATCACATTCGACATAACGTTTGATTGTTTATTTAAGGAAAATAGTGGAGCACAACCATAGTTGATTATTTTTAAAGAATATTTTTTGCAAGATACACACAAGGTTGATATCGTAATAGTAATATAAATTTTCAAACTGGTTCTTATCAAAAACGATATTGTGAAAATGAACAAGTAAGACGTTAGGTGTTGAAGTAAATAGCAGCAAATGAAAATGAAAGTCAGTGAAAAGTTTAGAAAACGTGACAAGTCCTACAGCTTACGTTTATATTAAAATCCATTTTTATGCTACAACACATTTTACAATTTTATTTTGGAAGGAAAGTTCAAGAAAATATTATCCTCAACAGCAAACGTCAAAGATATAACACAAACTATTCCTCTAGTCTATTTTCACAAGCTATGTAGTTGTACACCTGTTTACATCTTAGAATCACAAATTTTTAACTTTAAATTATTGATAACAATAATCATTTAAAATTGATTATAAATTCCATACTTTGTCTCAATTTACTAAGTACTTCTTCCTATCTATAGAAATTTTGACAAAATTCTTCCTGAACCATTAATTATGATAATAATTTAAAACTTCTATCCTATGAATTTTCATATTTCAAATTATCAACAGCCTCGTCCCGCCCACAAAAATTTATCCAGGGATATCCTCTGTTCCAGACGTCAAAGTAACAATCCAAAGACATCTATTCCATACACCGACAATAAATCGAAAACCCGCGCAAGAAAACGGCCAACGTATCAGACTTGTCGAACAATCGTCCCCGAGTAACCGAATAAATATTTTTTTCCGCCGAACTGATAGCCTCGGCATAGCGTAAACGTCAACCTCAAAAAAACCTATCGCGTGCACTCGACGGTTTTCGACGGGATCGACGAGACCTTAATCGATTCCAATATTCGCATTTCCGCCGAAACGCGCTACTTCAGCCTCAAAACCTGGAGTGAGGAAAAACGCAAGTGCGCAAATATCGTCGCGTTTCAACGGCCTCTGTATTCCCCGGTCCGCGTTGTTTTGTAACGCTCGCGGAACTAAATAACAACCGTAGTCCCGGTGCACGTTTGGCTCCGCGAAACGAACGAAAGCTCAAGTGGCGGAGTTGTACAAATATCCGTCGTCCCCAACGGAACGTTCCGGTAGAATACAGCCGAACGATTCCCGGTGCACGGTGTGTTTTGCCTGAACGTTAAAATAATTACACGAATCTAGGGGAGAAGCACCGAAACGTACCTGTCGATATCGAAAATTGTTGTACGGTGGAAATGCTCGAATAGCGTTTCCGTGGTTCTCTTCGTTGGGTATCGAAGCAGCTCGCCTAGACGTTCCTTCGAATATCGGTTGCGAACGGAGTAAAATTCGGATAAATTCGAAGAAATCTTGATCAGGACAGAGTCGATCACCGCACAATAACGGACCCGTGCCCACCAAAAACCACCGATTCCCGATAGCCGGAGCTGCCCCCTCGTATATCGCACACGCGCAACCACTTCGGAAATCGGCGACGATTTGCAATGATAATACGCACCTCGCGAGAGAGCACCGCGCTACAGAGTATAACGACGTCGACCGGCGGGCTCTTAGGCACTGGATACACCTGGCCGAGTCGCGGCGCACGTTTCTTCCTCGAGCGATCGGTAGAAGGGGGAGGGGGCAGTGGGACCGCTGCCGACTAAAGAGGACAGAAACGGTACGCATAATTCGATCGCAGGTACGACACCATTGAAAGCAACCTTCTTTCCCCTTCCCGCTCTCGTCTTGTGCCGATTTTACCCCCGAATTTATCTTCAATCCGTCCATCCCCCCCGTCACCCCCCACCCACGCACGATTTTCAACGCTTCTTCGGATCGTACGCCTATCGAAATCGCGACTTCCCCGCCTAGTACGCGATAGACCTGAATTTCGTTCACGTATTCGACCATGGCTCGATTGGGTGAAAGAAACTATTCTTAGCCAGGAGCAACGGTTTCTCGGGGGCCCTGCGAACGACTGACGTAACCTTGCTCGTCCGGAACACCCACGAAATTTATTCTGCCACCGGGACACTGGCCCCGACCACGGTGGCGCGAACAGCGGGCTCGCTAAACGGTCTGGATTTTATGGGGTCAAAGTACCTGCGTGCGTGTCTTGGACTGCTTACCCTGGCACCATTTTGTCCATCAATTCTGGATTGCGTCTGTCGCTGTCTTTTAAAGGTCTGGACTAATTTAGAGTGCTTATTCAAAAATTTGAATCATGTAGAATACGAAATGGTAAATCTACACCTGGGAAAATTGTAGGTACAATATTAAATGAGTCCCAAGAGTATTATCGAATTTTCGAATTTTAATTAGCAAGTAAATGGAGTAAATTTCTTCAATAGACATGGAGGGTACGAGTATTTACTGTACATGAAAGACCAATACTTGAAAAATGCAAACACTTTTAAAGTTATGGAATTAAATTAATATTGCTTATAATATCGACGTGTAATTGTAATGAAGTACTTTATAGTTCCTCGTGTCATGTAAATCTTTTTCGTATTAAGAATGAATTAGAATATACCAATAAGGAAGTTATTGGCTGCTTCCCACACATGCATATGCAATTTTCTTTCTTGATTTAATATTTCCATTATTACTATACATATAAAGCGTTTTCGTAATTGTAGATATCTCTAATGAAGCATAAGGATTATCAAGTTTGCACTCTTTAATTAATATATTATACAATTGTACGATATTACGAATTATTAGACATATTAAATATTTACCTCGCGAAAATAATAATGAATTTTTATAAATATTTTCGTTATGCAGTTTTTAATTAGTGAGTTTTATTCTCTCAGAGCACAGTTTTTTTTTTTTGTATTTTACTGTTTCGTTTACAATTTATCAACAAGCTTTACTTCTATAAATTTTCGCATGCATAATCATGTATTCATACGTGAAAAGCTTGCGAGTAATCGAGAAAATACTTGTTTTAATGCTGAGTTTGTGCAAGTGTTCATCGCTGCACGTTACAGGGCTAACATTCTTTTACCAGTCGGACAACCTATACACATTATTCAGAAAATCCTCGTTGGTTCGTTTTATTTAACGTTCTCATTACGGGAAAGCAAGAGTACAACATATATGAATATAAAACACTAGAACGAGAAGCACAGAGGTATATAATTGAACGAGATGCAGCTGAAACTTCCATTAACAAATCCTAGTCTCAAAGGGAACGGTATTTGTGTTTAGCCATTAGCAAAGAATCCACAAATATTAGCAAAATGATTTCATAAGTCATTAATCGAGTCTAGCTACTTGTAGTACAATTCTTTCGTTGCCGTTCTTCGAGTCTGATATTTAAGTAGTAATTGTAAAGTAATCGCGAACATAATCAGAACCTCATAATAATCATAATAGAACCTTTTTTTTATATATCAACTTCAACCTAATCTATAGTAGAAGTCTATGTAGAAATTATTGGTACATTCCAGAGTAAGGAGGGTAAGCTTCGATGTATGCAAAAGTTGATGAAAGAATAAAAAGGATAGTTCATTATATGCGAAGAGCATAAAGGGGCTAATTTGCTTTATCATTAGTATTCCTCTTTTCTGCAAATATGTACCCATGTAATCCGCAGACGGAAATGACTTCTGCTTCTGTTAAAAGTGTACTAAATGCTATTTATTTTTGTAATTAAGAAAGTATGACTTCCTGCGTGGTTGGCTAACTGTAATCGCGTACGGTTAATCAGGAGATGTAACCTGCACTGGAGATCAATCACGATATTTTTCCGTTAATTTTAATCACAGATAACCCACATGGAAGTTAATAACCTTTTAAGTTTTTACTGCGATTCATTTACTGACTCTTGTGCGAGATATTCTATTTTAC